TCCCCAATCCGCTGTTACACGCCGAACGGGGCCGGCCGCCCACCGACGCCAGCACGACCGCGGACGAGGACGACTTCACCCGGGTGACCCTCGAGGCCCACTCCCCGTCCGCCGCGAGGGCGATCGCGACGGACCTCAACCGGATCGCCCACCGCGCCCAACACCTGGCGGCGATGCTCGCGCTCGAGGAGGGCGGCGCGGCCTCGCGGGCGGGCTGGGAGGTCGACGCCAACGGCGCCCCGGGCGGGGATTCGGACTCCTCGGGTTGTGAAGCGGACGAGCCGGGGTTGACGGTTCTTCCTCGAACGGCGAACGAGGGAAAAAAGCCGTATACCGGTTCAGCCGCATTGGTGGAGGGGGAGGGCAACCTAGGGCTCCACCAGATCGCGCCCTCGCGTTATATTTCCGTCATGTCTCTGCTGGATGGGGAGTTTGTGGATTACACTACTCTGAAAAACGCATACATCCGTCGTGAGGATGAGAGCCTACTCAACGATCTCTCCGTTTTTATCAAAGAAAATGAACGCCAGGTGGAGGTTCTTTGTGAACATCACTACCCAGCTCTCATCAACGTCGCGCAGAAGTGCTTGACCATATCCGAGAAGGACGCTCAGCGCGTGGGCGATGAGCTTAGCGGGGCGACCGCGTTGGTACGTTCGTCCGTCGTAAATATCAAGCAAACTGCTGCCAATCTACTTCAATCCCAGATTTCGCGTGATAACCTGGTCAGTGTGCGAGATCTGCTGCGGAAGTCAATTGCGGTAGTGGAGTATTTGGAGACTGTCGAAACGCAGCTCCAAAAGCAGCAGCTCATTGGTACGATTGCATCTCTACGTGAGTTGGTGAGGCGGGCCGCGGCGATGGCAGAATCGACGCTTGGGGTATATGTTCTTCAAATTCGCGTACCGGCTATAATGCAAAATGTTTTTATGTACGCCATACAACATCTGAGTGAGTGGCTGAAGCTCTTAAATGATCAAACAAGCTTCGTGGGAGAAGCGGCGTTTTCCTGGGGCGGCTGTGTCACTACTGGTTCGTTCACCAAGAGTATTGCATTTTCACAAGAGGAAAACAAGTGGGGCCTCACGGAAAGTTACCAAAATGCCTCGATAGTATTCGAAACGTTTTCTCAGGGTGATGTAATTGCGAAAATTGTGAGCGGAGCCTCCATCCAGAGCATATTTCACGAGCTTCGTCATGGGGACTACTTTTGCAAATACTACGCAGAAGGTCGCGCGCAACAAGCAAAGTCCAGCATCCTGGAATATTCCCTGGGAGTGGAAAACATATCTGGGGAGGAACTTGTCAAGAATTTCACCACATACTGCGCGACAGCACTTGGGTTTATGCTTATTGAGGATGTCGTCTGGCATGCCACTGCACCACCCCCGCTGTCGAGCTCCGAAATTCTGCAGATGTGGGAATGTGTGGCCTCCGCCATAGCGGACCGTGTGTGGATGGTGTCAAAGGCCCTTTCTTCAAACCCATCCTACCCTGAACGGATGGTCGAGCTGTCTAGCATCCTTCGTCGCTTTATTAAGATCACCGGCTCAACCGTGAAGTGTATTGAGCTGAACTTTTTAGTATTATTTCGTGTGGTGGAGTCCATCACGGACCAACTGACCAGTAGCTGGTTACAAAATGCGTGCTTGGAGTGCTCCGAAATCATTCTGATGGATTCTTTAGTGCCTCTCACCGTTAGCGACGCCTCTCAGTTCGAGTCCTATGTGAGCCGATTCCACCTCAACACGTGCTCCTCTTTGGAGTTGCCTATCCCTACAACTTACACCGCCGGGCTCGTCCAGCTGCCTTATAGCCTTCTAGTTCCCTCCATCGGGAATCTAGCGCTGAACTTCATCTCGCGGTGCTATTCCGTGGTGGTGGTGAACCCCTTTTCTGCGACCCGCCAGTCCGAGCTGAACAATGTGGATGAGATGCTCATTAAGTATATTTCCGTCCTCTTTCGCA